TTAATAAATTTGTAGGTCTCATTTTAGGGAACTGTTAACAATTTTACAAATCAAAAGCTCTTTCTGTTGAAACTACTTGTAATATAGCAATAATAAACAAGTTTCTGTGGTTTGTAACTTCTGGTAAAGTTCTGGGTTGGTAACTAAAAGTTTAATTCAAATTGGTGCTTATCTACTGTTTGGATTATAACTTTTGTTTAATTGTAGCATCGATGAGTAGTTTAAATACAGGTTTAGAAAAATGGAATTTATGAACTTTTATCATTAAACTATGCTTTTGCAGTCATCAAAACAAACTATTGTCATCTCTTTTATTTTTACAACATTAAGTATTATTGCGGAAAAGCTGGCTTTTCTGCTCAAGTTAACATGTTCAACCAGACTGTGTTCCTGTTACAGTCACAAAATTGTTCCTTCAAAGGAAAAAAAAAATATAGGGCGAAGGAAACAAACCTAAAAAGTTGCCAAACCAAGGAGCCCTCAGAATGGAACACTGCTACTTTCTTAACATCTTTAAAGTATGGACAAAACAGTTTTAATCAAATCATTCTACAGAAATAACTAAATGTCAGTGTTTTGCTTGAATTACAGTTCTTGGGATTGGGAATGTGGAAAAATGACAACTGAATTTCAGAATTTTTCTGATGAATTTTTTTTTTTCCTCTCTCTATCGTGACCCTCTCCCAGGCCAAGCCTCTACATTCGCCTTGCGTTGTAAAACACAGGAAGTATGCCTAAAGAGAAGTGCAGAGAGGAACTGTGAAGTTCAAAAGTGTTGCAATTGCAGATGATTAATACTTAAATTTTTTTAATGCATTGGTTTTGAGTCCTATAGCTGTTCAGATAGCCTCAGATTCTGGAGAAATCTGACTAATTTAGCTTGTGTTTGCAGTTTGTCCCTTTATCTTATTAACGTGTCTGTCCTCTGGTGAAAACATTCTGTGTCAGTGGCGCGTGATCTATTGCAGATAATAATGCTGATTTTTTTTTTTTAAGTGGTGCTCTTATGTGCCTTTGAGCTGCAAACATGGGTGGTTATGACCCCAAGTGGGAAACATGTTTAGTCCAAACTCTATTTTAAGTTTTGACTTTGTCAGAGGAACGAAGAGTTATCCCTTCTGTTGCTTGTTAGCGGAGTCACTTTGGGTTCTAGTGAGATCTTTATAAATAACAATAACTTATTCTTTAGGTAACTGGTACAGTTTTAAGGTATTTGTATTTCTGATGCTCCCTACTTTTTTATTAACCTTGAGCATAGGAATGAATCTTTAAAGGCTGTGCAGCTTGTAATAGTGAATTGATTCCAGGTAGGCTCATCAGTTACAATGTTTTGAGTGAGTAACCTTCCCAGATATGTACTGCCAGTGATGCTTTTGTCCCAGTGGTGGCCTAACAGGCTGGAAAGTGGGAGGTGTTCTGCTCACAGAAGCTGCAGCTGGTTATAAGTGATGTGATTGAGCAGGAGTCATTTGTCATTATTGCGACACTGCTTAAAAATTTTATAGCCCTTCTTACGAAACCCATGATCTACATTGTAAAATTTAAAATAAAGTAGTGCTTCTTTTGAAGCTTTTTGAAGTTAACGTATCGTTACAGCATTATGATTCCTTTTGCTTTTAACATACTGACATGTATTCTAGTCAGAAAGATTTATGTAAGGAAACACTTGCTATGGATCCTAGCTGACTCTATGAACTGCAGATCCAGTAGCTTATCTTTCTTGACTAAAAACTAAATGCTTGAGTTTCCCCTCAGTTTTTGTTTATTATTTATAGCTTTTATTTTGATATTGTGTGTACATGGACAAGGAAAATCTTCTGTGTACCTGCACTATTTTCATAATTTTGAAATGACTTGCAAAAAGAACATACTACTACCAAGTATTATCTCCCATTCCTGATTTTCTTTTTTTTAAGATATTAGAGGAGGCAAAATTTAAACTGTAATTAAATGGTTTTTGCAGGTAATACTTGGTTTTGGAGAAGAGAAGGCATGCTTGTAAGTAGGCTTTGTATTCAAGTCAGTTTATCACAGATGTTCCAAAAACAATGTTGTCTCTCTAATTCTAGTAAAAGAAAGTTTGTCAAAAAGGGCTGCCAAGACCACTTTTATTTGGCACCAGTGCTGTAGACAAAGCGCCTGGCTTGGATGTCAGTGACGTTACTAATGAGCAGCTCGGCATGGAGTCAGGAACAGAGGGACATCTATTTCAAAACATCAGTTTCAGGCATCAGATGATGTCCTTACATTCAGTAAGTTTAGTAATGTAACAAGACAAAGATGCCTCCCACACAAATGTTTTCAAACTTCCCGTGACACTGACAACAGGGAACAAAGTATGTCATGAGCCAAGAGACAGGAACAGCCCTGAGGTGTGGGCAGATGGCAAGGCTCGTCTCGCTGTCTGGTCAAAACTAGTGTGCAGAGCTGCTGCTTCCTCTCGTCCTGCACTGCTGGAAGACAGTCGGGCACTGGGCACGTGCTCCTGTTGGTGTGCTGCTCTTTTGCCATCTTTGTGTCATTTTTCCACTTCATCAGGACGAAAACCATAGGGGGATCCTGGAAGCCTTCCACGGAAGTGTAGTTCCTTTGGATTATATTGGTCCATTGTTCAGCTCTCTTTGCCTTTTTAAAAGTCTAAAAATTGTGTCAAGCCTCAGTGAATGAGTCCAGTGGCTCTTTCAGAGGGGGTTGCTGTGACTGCCACACCTCGGTGAATCCCAGCATAGTTTTAGGGATCTGTTCTTCTCCGATACGAGTTCCCAGAGCCTTTGCATTTTCGGTCATGGGAAGTGGACTGTTTTGTAGCTTACATCCACCTTGCAACATGATACTGTGGCTATTCAGGCAGTTCCTTAAGTAGCTTTTTAGTCCAGGAGTCTTACAATCCAGATTCATTCAGGTGGTTTGATGCAGTTTTGAACTCCTGTGAGGGATGCTGCTGTAGCTCTTGGTTGGTTTTGTTTTGTTGATTCTGACACGTGGGATCTTTGGTTTCATTAGTTCAGTCTAGTCACGTTTGAGTCATGCCTGCAATAGCAACTGTTGACTGACTTCCAGCTTGGAAGCTTGTAACTACTTAACTAACCTAGTGTTACCCAAAATAAGCACCATTGTTTTTATTCATAACACAGTTTCTGTGTTGGTGTCGTGAGAGTTTGTTTATACTGTGAAAACTGCTGTCTTGGTGAGAGGGTGGAAGTACGGTTTATGTTGTGTCATGAAGAGCTCAAAATACAATATTCTGGCCTCATTAAAAATGCAGCTGTCTTTAGGTAAGGGAAAAAGACAACTAGCTGGCAACTGGACTAGTGCTGCAAGAAGTTGTTTGACTTGGAGGTATCTTAGTCACGCTGTGGCTTTATACGCATGGTTTCAGTGGAGCTTAAGGACTCTGTGGGATGAAGCAGCAGGATCCTCGAGGCTGAGTGGACAGTTTACAAGTGTCTGGTGTAGTAACAACTCAGGGATGACCTTTACTGAAAGAAAAAAAAACACCAAAACAAACAAAAAAAACAGTGTTTGGGAGTGATTTCTGTGTAAGCAGACATGCGGGAAGCTGAAGAATCCTGCTCGGTTAGTATGTTTTTCCAGGTTTTAATCAAGACAATGCTGAGGGGTTTTTCTTTTGGTTTCAGCACCTGGGAGCTTGTGTTAAAGACGGTATGCAATAATTACAACTTCAGTCCTAAGCTCTGCGCTCAGTGATACTTAAGTTCTTCCAGAGCTAAGTAACTTTAATGTGGATTTCGAAGGGGATGCAGTCTGCAGACTTACCATTCCCGGTAAGCTACTTAAGTGAAAGTTAGATGACTTTGCTTGCAGTAGCACAGGAAGAAAACCACGAACGGTTATTGCCTAACTTGCAGTCACTGATTGTAGAAAATGTGGGCATTTTTATAAGATAATATTTTTCAGTGAAAAAAAAAAAAGTAGAAAGCTTTTTAAATTCAAAGGTACAGTTCCTTTCATCCAAAACGGTATTATGAATCTCTGTTTTTTGCTAGATGACTCTTAATTTCTCTAGATGCAGTCTGAAAATAAAAAGGTAAGCTTTCTAATTGCCTACCCCAACGGTAACAGGGCCTTAAAGTCAATCGCTGTTCGTTTTTTTTTCTTCATGCACTACCATGATCTGTATCAAGTGCTGAACAGATACAAGTGACTTGTGGTAGTTAATGTAAGAGTGAGGACAGCCCTTAAAATTACACTGAATTTTCAGGACTTAAAAGTCTAATTATGAAACAGGGTTGAAAGTCATGGCTGTACTAGCTGAGGTCAGCCTGACAGAGGAGAAGAGGATTTCAGTTGTTCAATACCCATGAAAAATGGGGAACAGAGTCTTGTAACTGTATTTATACAGAACACTGAAAAAGTCTTTCTGATTTGAAATGAGGAATATCTCAGTGTTGGTTTTTGGTGTTTATCAAAACCAATTACGTAAGTTGATTTTTAGCGATGTAGATTCTTACTGATTTTCTTGACAAGAGATTTCTTTACAACGTATTTTTACGTTATTACAATATATTGTGCTGTGTTCATGGGTTTTTTTTTCCTCTGGAAGAAAGTTCCTGTGGAAAGGAAATAGGACCCAAACTTTGAAATCTAAAATAAGGACTAAACTGCTTTTCATTTACTTTTCTACCCTTTGAGATGCCAGAAGCAATTTCCTCTTGAAGCTGACTTCCTTTCTGGAAATGATTTTCGTCTCCAACCATTCTGAGGCTCTCTTCTCATTCTTTCATTCTGACTAATTTGCTTTTTTCCCCACTGACTTTCTGCTGCAGTTGAGTAGAACTTCTGGAGGTAAGTAACTACAGACAAGTTTCTCTCTAACTTTCTTTTTCAGTTCTTCTTCCCCCTGCCGCCCCCCCTCACCCCGTCGGTCTGGCAGGACAAACAAAGCACCATTGGTGTCCTCTGCAGAGAGCACTGATAGGGGGCTGGCTGTAAACTGACGTGGCATGGAAAATCTCGGCTAGTTTGTAGCAGCTCCAACTTGCTGTGAAATCCAGCCTACTCTTACCGAGTCTGTAGCTTGAAAGCGTCACGGGCTTGCTGTTTCTATATTAAAAATGAATGGAAAGTACCTTCGCTTTTTGATTTGGGAACCAGACTTTTTCCGTATTTGGATTTACGGCTAATAGGAAACAAAATCGAGGGGAATAATTTGGTGACTTTTTTCTCCCCGTAGTGAGAGCGACAGATCTTGCTCCCCCCACCTTTTCCTGAGATTTAATCATTTGCAGATCTTGCCATGGGGTGCGGACTGAGAAAGCTGGAAGACCCAGATGATAGCAGCCCTGGAAAAATCTTTTCTACATTGAAGAGACCACAAGTTGAAACAAAGACGGATTCTGCTTATGAATATGTATTGCTGGATTTTACTTTAGAAGGTATCTCTTTATGTTATATCTTTACTATTATGAGGAAGCAAGGAATAGGATTCAGCTTAGTTCTGTCGTGTTTGACTTGCAGTAAATCTTAGGTACTTCTATCAAAGCTAGCCAAATAGAAGACTTTTATTTTGAAACACAGATCATGACAAAGGTTCTCACTTAGATAAAATTACAATAGAAACTACTGAAGTATTTATTTCTAACAACCAGACCCTCTAAATTACACAGCTGTCCTTGTTAAGGAAGCTGGCTAAAAAACTGTTAGAGATTTTCCAAGTTTCCTGTGAGTCAGACACTGCCACCCATACTCACTTTGGGTAATGGTTGTTGGAATTCAGTGTGACAGTTCAGAAAATACAATGTGCCTGAGCATTACTTGAATAAGCTTTTTTAAAATGCATTCAGCTTCCGAAAACAGGCTGTCATTGTCCTGACTTTATGCAGAAGTGAGTCTGTTTCTTAGTTGTGTACCAGGAGTAGTTTCCCCTCTTATGCCCACGATAGTCTATTGGTAGATATTTTAGTAAGAGTCTTACAGTCTCATCTTACTGTATTTTTCCAAATGCTTTACTTGTAGTTGCTGAATAGTCTTTTGAAATCGTGACCAAAATGAAACAAAATTTGTATGCGTAGCTAGAGGCAGACAGTGCTCTGTGGGATACTTCCTTCCCGAGGGTGTCCCGTCCCTAACAGAGCAACTCCCTGTTCCACAAAGCTGAAAACGTAAACAAGCCCAGATGGCTGCCCTCGGAGAACAGACAGCTCGGTTCTGGGCTCACTTTGTAGTGAATTGCAGTTCATAACAACCCAATCTACTGGAAATCCTTAGTAACAAGGAGCTGAAGTAAATGCAGTTGCTAGCAGGGTTTGATAAAGGGAGAAAGTGTAAGTGCATGTCTTGTTACATTTTGGGGAACTTTTTCATAAACAGAACTTGGCCTCTGGTTAGTTTTAACTCTGAATACTGTAGTGGTTTATTTAAATTATGTCAGTCTGTTCATTGAACAAGTGCAAAGTACTGATAGAAGCCACATTGTACTAAGTTACAGTACTTGGCATCCTGCTGTATTTGTTGCTTGCTTATTTACATAAATAAAAAGTTTCTCACTGCCCTGTTCTTTTTTGTATAAACAAAACTTTGTGTTGAGCAAGTAGTGGTAACATACTGGAAATAAAGCTGGGCTGCCTAATGCATACATGGATTACCTACTAATTTACTGATAATAGAAAGGAAAATAATTTGTTTGGTTTTTTTTTACTCAAGAGCATTTAGTTCTGGATAGTTTTGCTGTGCTTTAACAAGTTTTTGGAAGTGTTTTGTAAAGAATTTGTAACGATGGCTGTGAATTTTAAGAAAAAGCACATCAAACAAGTGCAAATAAAGTTGCATCTCTATTATTTTAATAACCTATCAGTACAGCAGTAAAGGTTCATTTTCTCCTGATTAGTCTGGTATACAAAAGTGCTTAGCTTCAGTGATTTATTGTGGAGTTATGAGTGCTAAATAACAGTGAGATCAGTTCCAGGTAGCTGCCTAACTTTTTTAGGTTTCTAGCTGTAAGCAATTGGATTTGTGAACGCGGGTATCTCTCTGTTGAATGGTTCTGGCTGTGTGTGTATTTGACCTTAAAATATTTTTTGTTTGGGGTCTTTAGTTTTTAGAGCTAAAATAATGAATACAGAAAAAATGGTGTATCTACTGTCGTGGAGGCATTTCTGAATTCTGTTTGCTTATGAAACATGGAGGTTGGCTGAAGTACTGTGGGGAGTGTGTTGGGCACTTTTTTCTCTACACCAATCAACTTGCTCACAGACTTGTTGCTACTTGAATATTCTTTGGCTAAATGAAACCTAAATGAGAGCCTTTTGTCACTTGAGACCAAGGTTAGTTTTCACTCTGTTGTCAAGTTGTGTTACGCCTTCATGGCACTGTGTGTCTGCTCGTTTCCAGAGCAAGATCTTGCCCCAGCATCTGAGATTTCTGTTTACCTGGATGGCTTGTTACCACTGGATCTGGCACCAAGTAAAACAGAAAATCTGCACTTAGTATCCTTTATAAGATCCTACAGTAAGCTATGTCCTGCATTAAAATAAAAGCATAGCAAGCATAAATGCATTATTTCAATGCAATATGCCTTATTCTCTGCTTCATCAGATTATGCTATGTGAAGTTGAATAGAGCCTGCTGGGGAGACTTTCAGGGGTCCCTGATCTTCTCCCAAGCCACGATGCAGATCAGGTCAGCTGTGCTATAGTCTAAATTCACTGGCTGGAGTCCCTGCACATCTTAACTAGTTATCAGCAGTGTATTGTACATTGGCTTCCCCACTCCTGGTCCCCAAAATACCCCTATCCCTACTGTAAAAATCAGTTTTGAGTTCTGTGGAGGTTCCTCTGCATCAAGAGAATCCTGAACAATAAAACTACAGCCAGTCTTTTATTTTGGTGGTATTGAATAGTGCAAAGGAAAGGGAGCAGTGGACTGCAGTGTAATTTTAAATGCCTGTCAAGGATTGTAAATTCTACTGTCTCAATCATGAGACATATCTTGGTTACAAAAACAGCTGTTATTTTTTGAGGTCAGCTTAACCATAACGTAGGGATAGTTTAAATACTCTTACTCGAGCAGAATGCTTATGGCTTTTCCACAACTCTTCTATTAGGGAAAAGAAGGAATATGGATGCAGCCGATGAAGATGAAATGCTGTCAAGTCCTTGTTGCTCTGAATAACAGCATGAATGTGTATGAAGTAGCTGTTTTGTTGTCACTAAATATCATGCATCTGAAGTTTACTATACAGCTAGCAGGTTAGCTGTAGTTCTGTTATTTGTAAAAGTATGTTGGCCATCTGTTGACAGCACATCAGGAGGGACATTTTCTTAGTGAAAAATGCAAAATCAGTGAAGTGATGATCCCATTGCATACATTCCAGCTTTTTTGGCTTGCAGGCTGTAGAGCAGTTATTTCATCAACACATATTTAATGTCTCCTGGATTTACTCTGAGTGGAATCGTGGGATGGAGGCATTACTAAGGGCAAAATAGCATTTGTCTATGAAAGGGTGAGCTGTGATGTACTATCTGCTTAAAAATGAAAAAAGCAGGCATGGTAGCATAAGAAAGTGCAACAGCCCAGTCCCTATCACTGACAATGGCAGAGTTTACATTAATAGGTTGAGTTTGCTAGTTATCAGCAATAAACCATCAATATATATGTTCATGATGCTTTTTGGTACCCTGTATTTCTCACAGTACATGTTGTTCGGGTTTCTCTTGATAGCATTTTCTGAGCTGTTAAGGCTCTTAGAGCGACAGGCCAAGTAGGGTTCCATTCCTTTTCCCCTTTAGTAAGAGCTGATACTTAAAAGCATTTAAGTGTTGTAAAACATTGGGGGGGGGGTGTTTGTTTGTTTGTTTGTTTTTTTAAAAAAAAAAAGCCCTCCGTAATATATGTAGAATCAGTATTAGCCCCATTTCATAGTGGTGAGGCTGTACAGAGATTGATGTTTTACAGGACACGACACTCATGAACCAGCAGAATTCTAATTAATTGTACTAGAATAAAAGATTTGGGTAAACTAAAGATTCATATATCTGTTTTGTGGTATTTTAAACAAGTAGGATAGGTAGGACTTTGACTTGCTGTGTCTGGGATAAGTCCTTAAACTCCTTCCTATTGCACACCCACAATATAGGGCAGGTAGATAAGAGGATGTAAGAACTTGTAATTAACTCTTAAAGAACACATTTACCAAGTGGCAAGTGAGAGTTATGTCATTGCGTTTATCTGTTCTTTTTTTGTATAGCATTTTTAAAAAATTACAGCATCAAAAGAGAATTAGCGTATTGTTTTCAGTTTATTATATGGCTTGAAAGGGAATGTTTAAAGCGGCATGTTAAAAAGTTTGGATCTGTATTGTGAGGTCACTTAATTCCAGCTGAGGCATCCTTTAATACAGTTGAACACTGGTCTTAACGCACTGCAAGTGTTGTAGAGAGGGGACCCATCAGAACACAAAAGTACATCGCCAGCATCAAGGGTCACTGACAGAGACCATCAAATTCCAAGCCAAGCTGTCTTGTCATGCGAATTCATGTATGCAAAGGATGAAAACTTTGGCAAATACATGCTGGCAAACTTACTCTTAAGTTACTGTCTGTGTATGAGTGCTGGTTTCTTGCTTTGTAGAGGCTCTGAGAGCATCTGCAATTCCAGCTGGAGCTGAGGGGAACAGGAGGTACTGACCATCAGACTTACCGTGGTGGAGAATGTTGTCTCTTGCCAGTGAGGAATCTTCCTTTTCTCTGTGCAAAAACTGTGGATCAGACCATTCAAAAAGTTCTCTGGAAAGTTCTCCCTTTATCTGTGTAGTTTCCCCCAACACCTATGTAGTACCTAGCTGTTGCCTGTTGATTGGAAATGTTTGCACACACTCGGAGGGATCCTCCTTAGAAATTAGTGACACCCCACAGCTAACTTAGGTGACGTGTACTTAGGTCTGCTGGTGAAAGGAGTTGGGACTATATTAAAATGTCAACCTGCAATTCACAGATCACTTCTAAGGGATCCAAAAAAAGGGTTTAAGAAAAACAAACAACTGTTCTAGGCTTACATTCATTGTATGGGAGCTTACCTCACAGCTAGGGTTGAAGGATACTGCTTCACTAATTTTAAGGCTTTGGCTAGACAAAGTAGTTGTTTTGTTAAGTTCAGACCTATTGTGTGTTTAGATGTTGATGCAGCTCTTAAAGTAGGTTGGCAGAGCTAGATCCAACAGAAAGCGTTGCCAAATAGATTAAAAATAGATCATATTAACTTGTAAAAATACGTACTTCAACTAGCTGAATACTGCTGAATCAGCTGTGAATCTGCTTTTCTTGTATAAATGGCACTGTAGCTATTTAGTAAATGTCTTGGGATAGATTTTGTGTGGTTTTTATAAAAAGAACTCACCCAAAAAGTACACGGACATACACAGCATAACGTGCTTCTCTTCTGCTTTCAATGCTTTTAGCTTCCTCAAATCCAGAAGTTATCAAGATCAATTCTGTGCTGGATATAGCATCGAAGGTGGAAGAATATTACAGCAGGGGATATGTTGTAGGAGCTGTTCATCCTGTTATACTGCCAATTGGACGTAGAAGGAGTTTCCCTGCAAGTCACATGTATCGAGTGGTGCTTTCACGATTAAAATTAAGGTAACAGTGAAATAATGTGAATGCGTTGATCCGTTATTGAAGCCATTTGTAAGTGGATTGTTCAAGATGCATAATGTATTAACTTCAAGTGAGCGCATCAGAATCGAGTAACTGTTCCTTGTCTAGAAAGGTGAGCATGTTAGTAATGTTTTTTTAATTAATGTGAAGCACACAATAGGCTAATAATTACCTTAGTAAATGTCCAAACAGAAATCCAAAGTCACCTATCAGAACTGGTGAGAATATAAATTAGTTTACGCTTTTATTTTTAATACATTTTTGTGATACAGTATCATCTGTCTTAGAACCTGCAGCAAATACAAGACTAAACACAACACTAGGAGAGTAATAAGCTGCTTGAGATTCTCTCCTGTCTGTGTGTTCTTAATGTTAAAAATTTCTGTGTTTTTGCTTTTCCCGTAAGAGCATTATTCAGGGAAAATGACCTACGAAGTGTGAACTAGCAGAGAAAGTTTATTTGTCCTTCTTCAGAAGGAAATAATCATTCCGCAATTGGGGGGCATACAGAAGCTTGGTTTTGGCTCCAAGGGAGAGTCGAGAGTTTGTGTTTGTTCCAGCTCCATAGTCTTGTTCATTTCTCCTGTATTCACTGCATTGTAATCACCGTGTGATCATAAGGAAAATGTACAAAGACGTTTTATTGTTAGTTCCTTTGAATGCAAAGAAGATAACATTTTGTTCTTACTTGGAATAACTAGAAGTGGATTTCTTCTTGCATGAAGAGCTGTCATGCTTCCCCTTCTCTCCTGAGTCCTAGTGTGATGGACAAAGGTTCTTTTGTTTTCCCTTGGAGGACTGGAAGGGCATGGGTTGGAAGGTGCACCCTGCCACTCCAGTAGTGCTTCTGTAAAACATGGTTTGTTTGAGGGAGCTCCTCGAACATTTGGCTTAAACAAGCATTGTCTGTGGTGTTTGCTGCTCATAAAGTAATTGTTACTGCATTGTAGTTCTGGTATCTGCCTACACTGTATTTCATGCAATAGCTGCAATGCTGCTTTAGTTACAAGAACTGAACAGCATATTAACAGTGTAAAAGTACCACTCCTATTCAGTGTGTTTTCTAGAAAACTGAATCTGGTTTGTGCTTGCTGCATTTATAGCTTAGGCTTGTATTTTTTTGCATTGTCAGATATTTTTTCATTTGTTACAAAATCAGAGCTGTTTATCAATGAAACTTAGTTTCCAGAAGATGTCTATTAACAGTCTTCAGATGAAATTCCTGTTAAATATTAACATTCTTACTTGATGTCATAATACACAGTACCTGCCACTTTGTGTGAGAAGCGGAACAAAACACCAAAAACCACCGAGTTCTAGATAAAAGTGGGAAGAAGCATTGCCAGGATTTCATTCATAACTATTCCAAAAGAAAAGAATTCTATATGCAAGGATTTGTCCAAGTTAGCAGCAAACTACTGACAAAGACTGCTTTCTTTCTTTCTGTGTTCCAGCCAGAAGCATGCGGCACCCAGAGCACAAAGACACCCCAGGCTGGTGATTGAGGAATGTCCTTTAATGTGTGAAACGCTGACAAATGAGGTAGTGAAAGAACTGTTAGAAAAGGAAATGGAGGGTGGTTTTTTTTTTTTTTTCAAACCTCTCTTCAGATTTTTATTTCTACCATACATATAAGTTATATTTAGTGGTTGAGGGGTTTTTTAGTTTTGAATTTTAGCCTTGGTTTGTTTTATAGAAGCTACAAAGTCTTGTCGTGGTGCGAAAGGAGCTATTTTTCTTCACTAGTTGCTTTTTCTAATTTAAGACTTAGTTCAGAGCCTTGTAAAGCTTTGGGAGACCAGTCACATCACTGAAAGCAGAATCAGGCCTAAACTCTGTGAGCCTTTATAAAATGCTGTTATGATAGCTTTTTCTGGAATTAATATTAAAAAATAAATCTGAAGTTTTCTGTTGTTCTTGATTATGTAAGGTATTCCTAATGAACATGAATGTTTGCAATTTCTAAGAAAGATTTCTTCATTCTTTAGCAGAAATACAAAACACACAGTAACTATCAAATATTTACTTGGCACAGCTTTTGAAAATACTGTATAGTTAAAGAAAACTAAACTTCCACTGGAATGCAAGCTCTACTTCTGGCTCTTTCTGTGTTTTAACTTCCTTGGCAAAACTGAAGACTTACCGAAACAGGAAACTGTTGTTATTACAAGCTTTAGAGTGATATCTTTCATATTAGTTGCCAAGGAAAGAAGTAGAGGAGGAAGCGTATTGAAGATCTTTAAAGGTCTTTGAAATTATCGGTGGTGTTTAAAACTTCTAAATGGCTTGGGTTTCAATTTTCAGGTGTTTCAAATTTAAAATGGGGTTCCATTACATGTTTACACTGTGTGTGTATTGTCAGGTTGGTTGTGTAGCATACCAGACAAACATTTAAAGGAAAAATACACTTGAAATTAACAGTAATCGTCTTGCAAGCAAATCCGGAACAGTAGTAGTATGTGAAAATAATTTTATTTTTAAAATGCTCTCAGTGAGAGTAAAATTACTTGTATTTTTTTTTTTCAAAGATCTAAACCCATAAGACTTTGTGGCATTTCAGGAAAAAGGTTGTCACGTTACCTCACTTTCTGCATGTTCATTGTCGCATCTAAAATTACTTTGGGTGTCGTAGAAGCAGCATCTGTAGATGATCAGTGATTTACATATACCATATCATTGCTGTACATATGTAATGGTGGCAGATAGTAACGCTTCAGCCCATCGTGGTACTAAAAAGGGATTGTAGTACCATCAGCTGTTTGAGTGTTACTCACTCTGATTAATAGTTTACATGAGCTAGGTGGGTAGAGATCCTTCTCTCTCTGCCCTCACTAATCCGGTACTTCCCAGGCGGTTTCTTCTTTCTGGGCTGGGGTTTCTGTGTTTTCCTGGGAAGCCTTTGTTGTACAGAGGAGCTTGGAGCACAAGATGGCAGTGGGATTACCTTCCTAAATGGCAGCACTCCTTACCCCAGCCAAAACCCCCCCTCCCAGAACAGCCGCATCCCGCAGGTGGGACATCCTCTACAGTGGTGTTTCGAGGCTTCAGTGCAGAGGCTGGCTGAAAGCAGAGTTAAGAGGGTTTCAATTTGCTTCTCGCTCCCTCCTTTCTCTGCTTCTTCACTATTCTCAGTAATCATGAAGCTGAGTAGCCTCCAAGGGAACGAGGGGATAATGAATCATGATAAATAAATACCTGTCTAGTATTAGTGGTTGGTAATTTCAGTGTGACTGGCTTTGTGTATTTAGAGGAGCAGTACTATGTATTGCACCAGTACACTGCTTATCGCTGCGACAGAGCAAGTAAAATACTTTGGATTTGTTCTAAATGAAGGAGCTTGTATGCAGTCAGGTCAGCACCAGTGCTGGCCACCTCGCTTGGCCTGAGTCCAGATACATGCTGGCAGACTTCCTTCTGCTCTGAAACACGGGCGGCGTACAAAGACAAGCCACCTTCCGGTGGTACAGTGTGGTGTGTTCTGGTCTCCAAAATCAGCAGTCTAGTTAGAACAGAACATGCATATACAAGTCTTTTGAAAAGTTACATCCAATTCTAAAATGACTTTGCAGATAAATTTCTTTCGTAAATACAGGTGAACGAAGCTGCTAGAAGAGGAAAGAAGTTTGTGGGATTTGTAACGCAACATGTTCCTCAACCTAAAGCCTGCAATGGAACAAGCACTGATGGAAGTGCAGAGCTGGAGTCAACACTGGGCAGAAGAAATAGGGAACACAGAAGAAAAAATTCTGATGAAAACTACAAAAACTGGAATGAAGGGACACTGAGCGGTCACTCATCGGAGAGTGGGATAGAGGAGGAACTGCCAGGAGAAAGCGGTCTGTTACAGGATGCAGATTTCCAGTTTGGAAAAGAAGTTGGCCCTGTTAAACCACGAAAAGGAGATGGTAATAAGTGCTGCTTGTTTATTGCAGAAATAAGGTATTTTATGGAGCTGTTGTTTTAAAAATGTGTTGGAAAAAAAATAACATTCTATTGTATCAAATACTGGTTTTCAACAATGCATCTTCCATAAATGCATATGTATTTCTAAAAAAGTTGTCAGTTGAGAAAACGGGTGAAATATTTACTTTCTGCTCTGTGAATCCGTGAACTGTGATAATACACTGAAATGATGTTTCAGTTTTCATGTAGAATATTACAAAGGTACTGTCAAAATTCTAGTTTTGTAATTTAAAGAAAAAGGAAAAAACCCAAACAAACTCCCCAAATCACCCACAGTGTAGTTCTGATTTTAAATGTGGTGCATACACATAGCTTTTTTGCTTGATATGTGTATGACAAATGTGGCAGTAAAAATAATTTTTTAGAAAGATGCAGTTGTTTTAAATCTCTTCCTAAATGCATATACTTTTCTCTTAATATTAAATCATAAACGTGTGATGGATTTCCAAGATGATGATTGCAGTTCTCCTGGCTGTTTCAAAACTGACAACAAAGAAATCCCCTTCCAGCTAGAGCTGTAATTTTATGTGCTTCGAGCCAGCTCGTGTAATGTGCAGCAAACAAATCCGTTCATAATGGATTCTTTCTGGTTAACGTGCCTTCAAGGAGCATCCCGAAAGAGATCGCTTAAATTAATGCATTGACCGTGAAACCAAAGAGGGTAATTGTTACAAAATGAATTTACACTAGAGAAAAGTAAGCGTTAAAAAGCTGTGTAGGAAGGAAAAGTGTCACTGAAGAATGTTGGTGCTGTGGAAGAATCTGAGATACTTGGTGTAGTCTGTGTGAGAGAGTGCCTGAAACAGTGGCTTCGGATACTGAAGCATTAAGCCTCCTGGTTTGCTAGGAAGAGAAGGTGAAAAGGAAGAAGTCATCTAAAGCATGAGAACTAACGCAGCATAGTATTGTGTAGAAAGCAGGCGGCATGAAACTTCCCTGTCACATTTCGTTTTTACAGAATACCTTCTTCCCTGATGGGCCAGACGGGTTTTAATTGCTCTCAAAAGCAACCTTTTCACTTTCGTGTTAAGAGTTGAGCACCCTCTCCAGTTTGTAGACCGTCAGGATAATGACTCTAAGCACCGAGATATCAATGTCCCTCTTACTTTAACACTTGAATTAAAGCAGTTCCTGTACGACATGCTGAGCCTTTAGAGCATGACGTTAAAGTTTTAACTCTTTCCTGTCCGCTTGAAATAGTGGGGTTTCTATATGTAGCAGAATAGAAATCTTGTAAACAAAGAGCGGGAGACTCTGGACTCTGTTACGGACCTTCTTTGTGCAGACTGGTGTGGCCAGGGTGGGTCGCAACCAGCACATCCCCTACATCCAGTGTTCTCAGGAAACCTCGAAAAGCTTTGGGCAGGAATGTGCCAGGCTTCTCTACTAGAGTTTATGCTCACTCAAGTTACTGGGGTTCCTAACACAAAACTTAGGAGAACTTAACCGTCTTTCTTTGTAAATGCTGTGTGTAACCATCACTTTTAAGAATACTGATGTAAATTTTAAAAGAAAGTGCTACATGCATGTAGGTCTGCACTGCCACTTCAGTATGCCATTTCTAGTTAGGTCTGCTCAAAACATGCAGAACTCTCCGAGTGCTAGATTTGGGGCTCATAACTGACAGGTTTTGGCTATAAATACACCCTCTGCAGAGCAAAATGTGCAGGCAAATTTCTGATACGCGTAAGCAATTGAATAGTTGTATTGGGAAACTTGATTTTTTTTTTTTCCTGAAGAACAAATATAAAGGTGATTTTACTTTAGTATATGGGGAAGGAAGTTAAGCTTTATCAGGATAAACACATTTATGCTATATACAGCCACCTGTGGAGGTGATAAAGTGAAACTGTATAGAAAGAGTCATCTCTTCCTGACAGAGTTCATAATTTTGTCCTGAAGTGACTTTGCCCTGTTCCAGACACCTGCTGTTACTTGCAGTGGGTGTGGTAGCACCTCTCAAAGCAGAGGGGGTTCTCCTGGGGACTGGTTCAGACTGCTTTCAGTCCCAGTCCTGCTCTGGAAATCTGCCTCTGCCGCTGGAGCCTGGAGAGACGAGCATCTGGAGTGGGGTCAGCTAAACCAGGGTCCTGTGTTCCGGCAGCGTGAATAGCTCTGCTTTCTGGGGGCTGGTTTGTGTTGGTTTAGGCTGCTCGGATGTTGAAGGATGAGACAATCGGAGAGCGTTTTTTGGCAGCTGCTTTGTGTTATTTCTCCACAGCAGTGTGTGTCAGTGAGTGTGTTTGTAGAACTACATACCTAGGACTTCGTAACTTGTCACCAACGATTTCCTAAAATGCTGTGGATTTGTGAATTTTAATTTTGATGAATACTTGTTTATGACAGTGTTCCTGTAACAGCACTGTATTAATGCCTAGATATAAAAAACATTTGGGTGTATGCAGGTTCTGTGTGCTTAACTCACATGCTCATCAGTTATTGTTTGGGAAACCCCAGTAGGCAACTGATTATCCTGGTACTTAAGTAGTCTTCAGAAAATAATGGGTAAAAATCAATACTGTACAAGGCATTCCTAATACTTTTAAAAACCAGAAAATTGTCTTTAATCTTCACTTACAGTAATTTCAGATCTTTGTAGTCAGAAGTCGCGTAAGTAGCAGAAATGAAGCTCATTTCCACCGAGTTTTTCTCTTAGCTCTGGTATATTTTCTCTATGCAAAACCCACCTACCTGAAAGGTTCGGTGACAACACAACTGTAATATGTTCAAATCTTTCTCACAACCCGCATTGTTACCCTCCTCACACCTCATCCCGAGTGTGTTTAGGTCTCAAGCTGAGTTGCTTAAAACTAGAAAAGCATGTTGAAAAAAGATATTAACAAATTTTTTTTTTTTCTTTTGGAGCACTGTCTTCCAGAGGTTCATTCTTCTTTCTTTTTCTTTTCTTAGACAAGCTATATACGGTCTTCAACGTTTTTGATGATGATTCTATGTGCTGGACCTATCACGAAGGCATTTTGTCTATGAAAGTGGCAAGAAAGGGGCCGGTTATTAGTACACTAGAAGCAGACTGGCTGGAATTAACCACGTTTTATTATAAACAAGGATTGTCCTTAATTGATTCTTTCGTACACTGGGAAACTTCTAAAGGTGAGTGTTGTCCCAGATGATCATGAAGCTTTTACTTGTTAATGTAGAATTACATAATTTTCAGAAAGTAAATCACGTTTTGCTTTTTGGTGTGAAGGGCAGTATGTAAACATGTTCAGAGAGTCATTGTCAGTTTATAGAGTCTGATACCGGAGAAGGCAGTAACATGCTTTGAAATTTAAATTTCTGCTATGTTTTATCAAATTGAGGATTTCCAAAGCAGGAAAGCAATGTAGTGTTGCAATGAAGTAAACCTTTTGTGCTAGGTCTTTATTTGTTGTTTCAGTTTTTTTTAAAGGAAAAGATAATGGGGAAAAAAGTCATTAGATATGTCTTTCCCTGTTGTGTTGTGCTGCTCGCTGTAGGTACTGTGCTGCACCCTGAGTATTTCTGAGACAAAAGAGCACCTTGAGTTCTCGTTGTGCTTACTGTACCCTTAAACTGAAGCCAGACTTTCCGTGCTTCCTGCGTTCTCCAGCTCTTTGCTGGGCTTAATACTTTCCAAAACACCAAATGCATTGACATTTGACCATTGATCCTGAAGTTGCAGGATGTTTCTGCAGGTTGTTCTGGTCAGATGTGGACATACACAGAGAGTAAAGAAATCTGGCTTTGTCCTTGCCCTCAGCTGTAGGCAGATCCTCTGGGACCTGTTCGGATAGCTGGGAGAGACGTCTTCCCTTGTCCCTTCTGCTTCCTCTGCTCTTCTGCAGGAACCCATCAGCTCAGTTAACGCTCAGACTGTTACACTCGCAGAGCTGTGGGCCACAGGACCTTCAGATTTCATTTCATTTGGCCAGCTTCCGTTCAATCTCATTTTTTTTCTTCTGGAGAGATCGTACTAGCCCTTCCGGCGTTCCTGGCCTCCATCCTCCTGATGAAGAGCCGCGAGCGTGGTGTCGGCAGTGCTGCCGCACGCCCCGCTGAGCCTAGCATCCTGCACGTCGGCAGGCCTGGGCTGGGAGACAGCTGCCAACAGGAGCAGCAGTTTATTGGCGCGAGTGCTTTGAGCTCTCAAACCCTGCTGCTGGTAAAATGCCTAATTAAGAGATTTGTTTCTACTTGAACTAAATTTGTCTGAAAGCCAGAAATGAGAAGTGTTGCAAAAAATGGTATGTGGCTACTGCTGTGCAATTACTTGAAAAAAACGTGGAGAAAATGGTAGTACCTAGTGTTAGGGAAACAGACCAAAAGAGTCTGATGTAGTCAGTAATTCCAGAATGTATTAGTTATTGTAATAAGCATTGTTCAATACCATACTTAGAATTTATACTTCACTAATGTGATATTTTGTCTGTGGTTGGATCTGTTCATGTCTTGCTTGTACTAAGTCGTTGGTGTTCCTTTACAATTGCTTGTAAGCAAGCAAAACAAAGAGAAAAGTCTTGTAAAAAGTTTGTTGGAGAGATTTCAGAGACATTAAATAATTTCTGCAATACTCAATCGGATTATCAAGCACAGTGGTTAATAATGTATTAAAGTGGCTTTCATGTAATTTTATATCTGCTTCTCGCACGACTTATACAAAGACAGTAGAATTACGGGGGTTTCGAGTAGTCTTTGTGTTTGCTATATGCTTTATTTGAATGCTTTTTTTTCTGATGTTCTGATTTAAAATAATACGTATTCAGCATCCCCTTTGCAAGGCCTGGAATAGTGAAGGGTTTAAATTAAAAAAAGAAGTTTAAAACACAAAATCTTTGGAAGTTAGATGATACGGGTTCTTTAGAAATGAAACCCTGACAATTATGACAACTTTTCAGTTTTCATCGCTCTCCATAGTTTAGTTTTGAGTGTGAATCACTGCGTTTCTGTAACTCTGCAATGAAAGTGAATTTAGTGGTTGTCAGAGGGTCCAGGCACATCAACATGGCTGTGTTCACCTCAGCCGGAATTTGGCAGCTAGTCCCTCTCAAACCGCCTGTTTTGTGCACATAGGCAGTCTAATGGCACGGTTGGTATTGGCCATCTCTCTTGCTCTGAAATTATAATTCCTATCTGTTGAAGTCAGTGGAAGAACTAAGTTTCCTTTGGGGGAGGAGAGGTGAGAAATCGGACTCCTAGTTTTCAATACAGATTTCTCAGAGCTGGAAAATAACTCTCTGGAGACACTTGGCAACTCACTGAGGGGTGTTTTTGGCAGCTGTTGAAATTAGTCTTTGCAGCTGTTGTCCAGCAACAGTTCTGCAGTCTTCCCATTCCCCCGTAGCTGTTTGCTCTTCTCGATGTGAGTAACTGTCCCATCTTTAATACCCAGGTTATGACTTACGTAGGGATTTCACGCTGCCTCGCTGCAGCAGTTGGTGCTCCTGCTGCAGCCCCGCTTGACTGGTATGTGTTTCAGTTGGCCTCGTGGGTGGGACGCCGCTGAATTAAACTGCGTATATTCATAGGCACAGCTCGCTGTGTGGAAGGAATTCTGCAGCTGATCGAGTGTCTGTAACCCCAGTAAGAAATTAATCTAGCTACTGAGTGCTTAAGCTAAAACGTTTGCTCTGGAGGTGACCATGGAAGAGTTTTGTAACTGGATAAAAGTTCGGTGTCCAATAGGGGGGAAACCTGAAATGCTTTTTTGGAGAGAAAAAGTATTTTAGCACTTGTATTTATTACTAGAATTACTTCTTATGTGTCTGCATGTACTTCTGGTTGTCGTCTTCACCTCACTTTTTTTGTTTGCCTTTAGACTGTGAGGTGTCTTTAACAGTACTTGACCTTTTATACAGCCTTAGTGGAATGAGCAATTTTTAGCTATTGTTTTAATAAAAACACCAGGTAAGAGTCAGACAGCTGCAGAAATCCTCCTCTGGTTTGGACTCTACAGATATTCTGCAGAGTCAGCAGAACTCGGTTGCTATGGGGATCAAAGTACAATACCCAATTCAAGGCAGGAGGAAGTTGTAACATAAAAAGAATTAAAAAAAAAAAATAAAAATTGTCAATTCTTAATATGTACCGACTTCTGTGTTCTGCTGCCAAAAGAGGATGCAGTCATAAAAATAATGCAGGTAAGTTCTCTTTAAGCAGCCATTTGTATCGTTGTAGTGTTCCTCCGTTTGTAGCTGCCTTGAAAGTTCTCATGGTCATAGAAGTACCTCAGATCAGTAGAAGTGCTGTGGCAATATTTTTCCTTTTTCTGGTTTGTTATCTGTCATGCAGTGCTTTTTTTCTTCTGGAGTACTGATATTAACAAAGATGAGCTACTGTAATTGAGAGACGGGCCAGGTGAACCAGTTAGCTGCATGTGTGGTTTTTTCAACTGAGGTAATTTTTGATAACATACGCTTTCTGAATGAACAGTTTGTCTCAAAATACCACTGAGTGGAGGTGTCTGGTGTCAATAACTGTTTAAAATTTCTTCTATCATGTTTGAACAATTATAGAAAAATATATATTCTAATATGTTGCAGGTGGTCTGTCCATTTTAAATATCTGCCTGAACACTGAAGAAAGGTCAGAGTCCATGAATTTATAAGACTGAGTATTTATGAATTATTAGGAGCTGTGCAGATATTCGTATGTTTGTGCCTGAAGCCGTATATTCAGTTCCATGTGCAATCACATTATATGTATGTGTCATCTAAAAATGAAATAACATGTCCAGTATCTCTACAAATGCGTGGAAGAGATAGATATGCATGCAAGTATCTAAATCATAACTCAACCTACATAAATCTGCTATATGCAACATAGTAAAAAAATAGTATGAATAAATAGTTGATATTTTATAGTGCTTTGACAAGCATGCTCAAAAAATGGGAATTCCTGGTTTATGTAGCACAACTTCCATGCCAGACTGGTCAGTTTTTAAAACCAGATCAGCTGTGTCCCATAAGTTTTGTTTGTTTTCTGGATGTTGTTTTCTTAAAGTTTATCTGTCTTCCACGAAGCTGTGGCAAAAACAATCATCTCTTTATGTCTCTTTGTACAGTACTGGAGAAGATTTAAATCTGATATTCTGAGGATTATATAATTTCACTGTTCAAATTTAGTTCAAGATAGTCAGCTGGCGAGGTACATCTGCGGAAAAGGCTTCCCGGTGGCTCTTAGGAGAAGCAAAACCAGAAAATGAACCAGTATTTGATGCACATCTTTAGTTTGGGCCGACGGGAGATTGTTGGACTTCGACAAGTGAGTCAGGGAGTTGTGCTCTGAAGCTTCCTTCCCATCAGGAATCTTCCTACAATTACTTCTGTTTCAGGCTCTTCCTGTGGCCCTTTACGTATTTATTTAAGTAGCAGTAGCTAGGCTTTGCACTTCATGCTTCGTTTGTCTTTGTGCTCTCTCCCTTCACACCGAAAGCCCCATTTATTGTCCAGCATACAGTCTTGCAGTTGAGTAAAGAGGGTTTGTGCCCATCTGCTGCAGGGAATATGTCAAATACAGGAAACTGGGATTCAGCTTCAAGCATGGAAGTGGCTAATGCCTTTGAGAAAATGAAGTGGTTCGTAGTTCAATTTGTGTAGAAAAACGGGTTTGAATAATGAGTTGATCAGCATACTTCAAGTTGTAAGTAGACAGTAACCACTAGAAATATGCACAGATTTGAGTTATTTGCTGTCTCAGTTCATTTTGTTTTAGAGCACTTTTCAAAGGGGAACAACAAGCCCATGCGTGCATCTTGGTAGAATACCAACCTAAAACTTTATATTTCAGTTTGTTTGTCTTTATGTTCGCAGGGGACTATTTGCCCAAGTCTTTAGAAGGATTATTTATCTACGAAGAAGAAGGTGCTGGGGTTCCAGGGTCTAACAGGAAAGGAAATGATGCAATAGTTGTTGAACAATGGACAGTCATTGAGGTAAGTTGGTGATTATTTAGCAATGCAATTTCCTGCTTCTAGTTGTCTTTATTTTTTCCTTAGAATGTTTGTACTGGTGTTTGATAAACAGTCAGAATGGTTTCTTGAAGCCACCTGCATAAGCTAAAGCCTTGAGTCATAAAAATGAAGTCAGGCTGGTGGTGGTTGGTCAGTGTGCATAAATGAAACACGCCGCAGGGATTCTGGCCTGGCATTTGCAGATGTTCCTACCAACAGATACAACCACCAGAGAAAACGTGTTTTGAAATGTATGTGCTTCAGACCAATTTAGACAGAATTTCAGCCAGTGCAGCTCCACTGACACTATGCTGAAATATTTTTGAATGAAAAGGGTAAGAAAATAGCAAGAACTAGAAACAGAACAAGAAAACATAGATGGCAAATTAATTGAGTGTGGTTTTTGGATGTATATTCTTCGTAAAATTTTTACTGCTAAATATGAAAGACTTCATTTTTTTCTAATAAATCTACATGTACTACTGTAGCATGGTACAACAATAAAATTATTTAATGTTTTTAATATTTTAGTGTTAGAAGACTATTGATATGGATTAATGACATCTGAAAGTAATCTTTGTTGGAGGATACCAAGGGCTTACTTTTCAAATAGTCAATGATAAATACATTTACCGATCTGAAAAGACATAGCATAAAGCTAAGACCTTGTATATTAAAACAAACAAACAAAAAAAAAAAGCAAAGAAAGTGAAAAAACCAACCACCAAACCCCAAAACCCCAAGTATATAGCTGGGTGAGAGGTTTGTTACTCAGATGTGAAGTAAAAACCTAAATACATCAATGGAGACGGCTATTCTGATGTTTAACAACTTTTAGGCATTAGTTTAGCAGCATGAGAAGTTTAACAAGTGAGATGCGCTTGGAATGTCTTGCTGAACCAGGGCTCGTACCTAAAGTCGATACGCTCTGTTTTCCTGGTCTCCTGTAGTCTGGAACTTTGCAAGTTGTTTCCAGTTTGAAATAGCGAATCTCCACCAAACAACACAGTTCAGTGTCATCTGGGAGGATTATATCATTATAAGTGAGAGGAGAGTTGTTGTAATTTATGTGTAGAAATGCAAGTAACACCTGTGCAGAGTCTCTTTACTACTTTTTATAATTATTAATGTAGGGGTGTGAAATTAAAACAGATTATGGACCTTTATTGCACACGCTGGCTGAGTTTGGATGGCTTCTGACCTGTGTCCTGCCTACACCTATTGTACGACATGACAGGTACCCGAACAAGAGATTACAGCTCTTTTGGTGTACATATCTCTGAGAATTATCACGTGATTACTTGCATACTTAAATGTAGAAGGAAGAAAAATGCTAATAATGTGAACTGCATATAACATTGAGATGTGAGTAGCATTATGGTAGAATCTTTTTTACCTCAGTGTGTTAGGACTGCTGACTTCAGTGAGTTTCAAACTAGACCGGTAATCCTAAACTTCAAATACGTTGTTTAGGTATAAACATTAAAAGATTTTGTTTAGGCAGCTTTCTATCACATACCCAGTCACCAGCGATGGGGTTACTCATGCGCTTCAAGTTTAAACTAGCATTGAAATGTTTCTCTAAGTTAGCACCTTGGTGAATGACTGGTTTAGACTGTGTAAGAAGTCATGTTGTCACAGGACACCCATGTAGTATTTATTGCAAATTAGGGAGGAGAACGTGCTAATCCAGCAAGTCACTGGGCTGCTTCTCTTCTTAAATCTAGACACTATGTTTCATTTTGAATATAGCACCAAACTACTGGATTTCAGTTCTGGTACTGTGATAGTTACATGGCTGAGGAGGACTTATATATGTAGAAAGAGCTAAATAGCAGTCCTGGATCTCTTAGAAAGGTCAATATTCTCTGTTTTTTCATTAAACAAGAAAAAGTACTGTGCTTTTCTACACGATACCAAGCTTAAAATTGGCAAATGATACACTGGATGAAGCATACACTTCTTTTCTTTCTCTCTCTCTTTTTTTTTTTTTTTTCCTAATTCTCCTCCCCTTAGATTAAGACTGCCGAAGTTAGAAAACAAACAAATGTACTGGGGCATGGCTTTAGGGCTCATTAAGGACAGTGGAAAGAGCGGGTGGCTTTAGTGATCCTTGGATCCAGGGGTGTTCAATCAAGACACCGTCAAAAAAGGGTGTGAAGGAAAGGTTCTAAGAACTTCTCCAGGAAGGTGGAATTTTGTTCAAGTGATTTGACAGAATTAAATCAACTCACCCATGTGAGAAGGAGACTTTTCTGGTCACAAAATAGTTTGGAATTTTTTTATTTTGGCTCTGTTTTTTTTAATAGTTGATTTTAACCAACTGGTTAAAAGCGAAGACAAAAGAAATTGTAGTAAAACATGTGGCATGTTCTGTCATTTTTTTAAAGGTTTCTACGTTGTGTTTTCTTCTGGAAATTATGACATTCTGAACTTGTAAAGCTCCTGCTCCAGAGAGAAGCAGTTTTCAGGACATGAAACAAAAGGGTTATCCTTTAACTCATTGCTTCAGAGATTTTTGTAGTCTAAGCGTATTTGTGTTGAACATGGCGACTTGCTGAGGGTATGTGAACCACTGAGCCTGATTTTCCTAACTACTGAAATATTTGGCCAAATCTTAGAGCTCGAGAGTAAGCCTTCAGGATCCGGATATACTTCTTGAAGGACGTGAGCAGGCAGTGGGAAAGAAAGATTTTAGTAGTCACGGTGCGCTGTGGGTCATGGGACGAGAGGGAGGTTTTAACCTCAAACCTCTTCTGTCCCACAGGCGGTGTAACCATACCCATCCCTGTAGGGTTTGGACAGCAGGGACAAGATTGTCCGGAGCAGCTGCTGCTCAGCCACTCTGAGTATCGGTCTGTGCTTGCAGCGGGCGAAAGGACGCTGTTTTGTGCCTCGCAGGCTGCAGAGCGAAGGCAGGGCCAGGTAAAAGAAGCTAAGTGCTGTAAGAAAAAAAAAAAATCACAAAGTACTGTAGGAAGCGTGAACAGATTCATTAGACTAGACCTGTTCCTTGGGCTAGTAAAAAGGTAACACACTGGCAAGATAATTACATTGTGCTAGTGTGGCTTCCTAGATGTCAAACAGCCAGCCCGTTAGTAGCTGCGATCAGGCAAAAGGGGGTTGTAACCTGGCTAGATACGAAGTTGTGTCCATTTTGTATCAACACTAGAATAATTCAGACTGATAAAGTCATTTGTTTTCTAGCCTAAAGGGCTGGGTAGGTGTCTACGTGAATGGTCGAACACTTCTTGTCTTCGTGTGGCTTGTGAGATACTTTTGGAAAAAACCGGCTAAATCGCGTTTTGTGTGCCTGTCATATATCTAATATACAGCTATTCAATTTTCTTTAAAAAAAAATTAACAGAAGAAAAGGAAAAGCCCACAAACAAGAATTCCTAATTAGGAACGAAGAATTCTTATAAGTCCAAAGAAGAATGTCTTTCTGTCCCGATAGGCTAAGTAGTGGTTGATAAATACTATTTTTAGGCATTGATGTTGGTGTTTAAAGAGGAAAAGAAATTCCTAGATGGTTACTGTATGTCTGGTGTGAAAGATGCCATTACTGTGGTGGTGGAATATCCTAGGAATGCAAGTGAAATGTCTCGGTGAAGAAGGACACTTTATGCTGCTGAACAGCTGTTCTTTTCCCAGACTTGGAACTCTGACCTCAAAACCCAGCCTGAATATTAACGGGCTTCAGAAATACTGAATGAAGAAAATGAGCAACGCTTTGGATGATCTGGCAAATTCATGTTTTCCTATTTATTAAAAAAAAAATTTGGACAAAGTATATAAAGAAAATTCTGTTGAAGAATTAAAGTATGCTAGCAGGGCAGCCACCTCCCCATCTTTGTTCAGTTTTGGATTTTGCTCTAGTCTGTTTTCCTCTTCTCCTAATTTATTGCAAAACTTTGTGTCGTCTCAGATCTCGCGTGACCTGTTCCTGGCCACCGTACCAGCTGTTTGTCTGCAGACCAGCAGGCTGACGGGTTCTGGGGCGTGACAGGGTTGTCAGGCACTGATGTGTTCCTGTTTTGGTTTTTACATGGTTAGGATTTGATACAGTTCAAAAAGCACCAGGCTGTACTGTCTGTTCCTGCGTGGGTTTGGTGTCGTTGGAGGTTTCCCCTCTTTCCAGAGGCCGGCCGTGTTGCGGGGGGGGGCCGGCGCGCGTGGCAGCCGCCTGTCGTGGGTCGCTGTCCCCTGTGCGGCAGGGGCAGCAGCCTGTAGGCACCTCCGGTCCTCCGACTCCTGCCACCAGGCCGAAGTCATGGGATGCAGGAAACGTTTCCTTGGGAAGTGTTGTCCTTGCTGTTACAAATAGGGCAAGGGTAGATGTCGTGTTCTTGAAACATTCCGAGTTGCTTTTTTTGTGCGGTGTTGTTTGAAAAATCAGTGCTGTGGGGTGTGGGAGTTTGTATTTTTCGTCAGCACAATATAAAACCCACAGAAGTTCCCCTCTTCTGTCTGTGATTCTCTTTTTCCGGGGAGATGAGAAAACAGAGTGTGAAAAAAAAGTGCATATGGTGCAATGGTTGTTGTAGCCATCCATATCTTGGATATTTAAATTTTGTCAGCAGTCAGAGAACTTTCTGACCAATAAAGCAGACCAAAGGAGAATACAAGACAGACCGCCAATAATGTTAGCGACCTAAAGAGCCTCCTGCATTAGAGATAGCTTTTACTAGGTAAATGACTTCAAGACAAGAATTTGGCAGTAATTACACCAAGTTCAGAAGCTGTATATCAAGGATAAAATCAGTAGTCCTTTTAGGAGTTACAGTCGGGGGGCGGGGGGTGAATTTTTGAAGATACTTTGCTAGCAGCTTAGTGCTACTGGAATTACTAATATGGTATTTTCATGAGGTGGTAGAATTTCATACATGTTTGTGGTCTAAAATTAGAATTATTTCTAAGGTTTGTTTTTTTTAATTTTTCATTAAACAGATCCTTGAAGCCAGGAGACTTACTGTCCTAAGCTGGTGTATGTCTCACAACTGAAAATCTAGATGCTGTGCAATTCCAAAGGAGTGCAAAACTTTCTTTAGGGAAATGGAAAAAAACTCAATTGGGTTATAAGAATTTATCTTGCTCCTGTTCATCTTTCAGAAAACTTTCTCTAACCTTAATTCGAAGTGCTTTATGTATAAAATGTTCATGCATAAAAAATAGATCTCTAAAAAAGAGAGCCATTGGCAGTGCTAGTTAGCTTCTAGCTTGAGGAACTTATTAAACATAAATGTATAATAAGAGGACAAATTTATTGCCTGTACAGCATAAGCGGACAAACAAATTGCTGGTGTTCCAACAAAAGAGCCTCTGTGGTTCTTCATCCCCGTTAAAAGAAGAGACAGGAAAAAGGCTTCAGCAGCCTTACTTTGCGGCGGCCTTGATTTCCCCTCGCTGATTGCTGTAGTCCCTGAAAATGGGCAGGACAGACTGTCTACGGGCGCCGGGAAGCAAGCAGGCAAATACAGACAAATACAGTGCAAAAACACTGACTGCGTGGTTATTAATTTATCATGGCAAACTACTTAATTGATGTTTTCAAAATGCCCTGGCTTACGAGGCAAAGATGGAGCGTGGAAATGTGAGGGATGCTATGGAGCAACTTGCTCTAAGCGCTTTTTCTCATTTAAATTCTGTGGAAATCCCACTGTCATTGAGTTCTTTGTGAATTAAGCTCATAGCCGCTTTGTCGTGTGTGGCATTTTAATAAGGTCAGACTTAGAAAATTCTTAATTTACTTATTGTCTACTCACCGTCCTGTCCTTTCTCTGTTCTAGTAGAATTTGTACAAGCTGTAGCTTAATGTTTGGGTTTTTTTCTTTTCTCTGAAGGAACGCAGACACTGTTACAAAATAAGCCGTAGGCTGTTCCCCGTGTTGGGGACCGTGCTCAGCCTTCTCGCTTAGTAGAGAGATCTCCCAATTGATGTTACCAAAACACATCAGTGGGGCAGGGAGAGATACCTGGCCAAGTGGAGTAAGGTTGCAGGATTGCTGATTTCCTTGTCATGATGTAAAATTGTAGCACATTTTCTTTTGATGAATGCAAATTGTGAGGTAGGGACTCTCAGAGCAGAAGGATTTGTTATCAGAAAGAAACTAATGAGTTCATTCTGCTGTTTTATTTTCCCCACAAGCTGGAGTTTAAGGTAGTTCTCTCTTCTCATCCAGGGAAGACATGAAAGGTGTGCCATGACCTGAAAGGAAGGCTGTGCAGGGCCAAACACCGTCACAAAACCATCATCACTGACTGATCAGTGTACGGAGTATGCTGGGAATAGTGTGTACTTCCCCAGAGCTTACTTCCAGAAGCTCTGCTCAGGCAGGCTGTTAACAAGCTCATGCATGTTGCATAGGGATGGTTTTGATCCCTGTGTTTTCTTGGAGCAAGCCCCTAATGTTAAATATAAATTATTTCTATCGGCCCTAGCCCTGGCATGAAACATGAATCAGTTAACTCTGTGTGTGTGGTGGTGAAGATGGTGACATACTCATCCTGAAGTACAAGCTTGCATTGTTTTAGTAGTTCTTTCTGTAATGTTATGCATAATACTACCGTTTTGTGATTGGTGGAATAGCTAGAATCATGGATATGTCAAATGAACTCACTACATGTCTCTCTAGTGTTTCTGTTTTGCTACTTTTCTTTAGCACACTCTTAAATCTGTAGTCGCCCTCTGCCAAAGTATTTCAGTCTGTCCTTCATACACATAAAGATCTCATTGAATACTGCCCAGAAGTAGGAGCTGGGCGGAGAAGAAGAGTTTGTCAGAACATAGTATCTGATATTTAGAACAGCACAGGAATTTTTTAAACTCTCCCATCCTAGAGCTCTGCCCTCGAAATTCTTGCACTCTTTCAGTGCCACAGAGTTGGGCTTTGTAGTATGTACGCAATCAATGTGCTGACCTGTATTTCAGATGGAAAGGTGATGAAAATAAATATATAAAAACTTCAAGAGGATGTGTCACCAGTACTAAGAGTGTAACACTTTTGAAACATCGTATCAGTAACATCTGATTTGGTCTTGAGGAACACCTGCACCTTTTCACATTTTTTTTTTCTGAAAGTATTTCCTTTTGAAAGAAATAACAACAATGCTTCTGTAAATTATATCTACCACAACAGTATCAACACTTGTAAAAAAAGTTCCAGGACTAGAAATGGAAGCTTCTCTTTTTTAACTCCTTTATTTCTCTTAGTATTATGTTTTCTTGTCCTTCCTGTGCATGGACCTCCTGAGTACAAAATGAGTGTCATTTATCTCATTGTGGATTTAGAGCTGATAAAACCTGAGCTGAGTCCTGTCCATAGATGGTGAGACAGCAAGCGGATACCACTGTGTCAACTAGATGTAAGGTTACAACTGGAAAACACCTAGTTAGCAGTAAAGAGTGCTACTTCCTGAATTTCGTACCACAAAGTATGGAGATATTTGAAGCTTGAGATTGGGCCTATTTATTGTGGCATTAATAGGTAGAAATACGTTGCTGTACATTTGACAGTGAAGGTTAGATGAAAGAAAGACTCTCTGAGGTTTACTGCAGACAGAAAAGTGCAGACTTTGAAAAGTAGGAGCTCTGATACTTAAACTTTCAAAAGCAGACATGTTAAATAACTCTAATCATAGTAACACAGATTTTTGTTCTGTGTCTGTTTTCATGTGCTGCACCTTAACCCAGCTCTATGCTGCTTTTTTTAGATGTGATTGTGGAACTGTTTAGGAATTAATAAACCAGTTAATGCTTGGTAGACTATCCTCCCTCATGGACTTAGGTACAGACAACTTACGGTTGACTCTGAAAGGTATGAGTGTGTTACAGTGACTACTATTGCCTTTAAAACATTGAAACAATTTTCTTTAAACTTTAGTGAAGGAAATCTGGCCACAAAGCAAGTTATTTTTCTTCAGAGACCTGTTATGTGGAATTCTGCTGTCCAGACACCAGAGGTGAGTAACATGTTTATGGTATTAAAATAAATAAACTAGTACTTTGCATAATGGTTAGGTACAGCAACAAACTGGAGCTCAAAATTGGTGGGGAAAGAAGTGAAGGAAGAAGGCTTCACTTGGAGCAAGTTCAAGTATGTGGAGGGCCTTTGCAGCTGAACTCGTATGTTATTTTTTTTCTCAGCCTTATACCTCTTAAAGCAAGACACAAAGAAAAGCATAAGCATGGTAAAACCCTGTCTTGTGCTAAGAAAATACTGTGTCTCAGGAGGGTGAGGTTGGCTATGCTGTAAATGTTTCTTTAGAAGTCTTCAGGAAGTCTGAAATGTTCTGATTCAAATCCTGGATCTGTAGCACGTGAAAAAGAAAACACTTTATTTTCACCCCAGGATGTCTACTTTCACGCTTGTAGAAGACTGCAAGCATCAAGCTGTGCATGGGTTGCTGTAATCTGGAGGGTAACAGGGCTGAAGGGAGGTGTCAGCTGTTGCTGCATGAAAATGTGTGACAGAAACAGAGGATTTATAGTTCCCTGCAGCTGACCTCAACGACTCCTTGTCCCTTTTTGAGTGGGGCACCCTTAATGGTGGTTGTATGGAAGTGCTTCGAGGATTAAGTAGCTGGCAGTCACCACATCCTGCTTGGGGTCAAGGTTACAGCAGTCACTGCACCCTGTATAGCACTGGAGTAAATCCTGCTGTGGCTGGAGGAGGATGGACTGGTGGCCTCCTCTTTGCCAAGTCTTGCAACATCCCATGATGGACTTTTAGTTTCCGTTACTTCTGGTTTTGTTATTTTCTGTTTTTCAATGGCCATTCAGCCTCTTCCTAATCAGCTTTCCCATGATGGTCTTAAGCAGCTATGAAAACTAAGGGTGTTTCACTCCTGTCCAGCACCAGGGTAGTAACTTTATGAACTCTTGTCATTCGTGGTGTTCTATCCTACTGTAGGGTAACGACCCCTAGTCTCTCCTTTCTCCATCTGTATAAATAGTTCCATGAGTCTCTCAATGTCTGACGTGCATATTTGATCTTTCTCTGTCATTTTTACTTTCTATCCAGACTGTTGCCATCATCTGTGATTTTTCCTCTGCTTAGTGTTTCTAAAATACTCTCCTGTTTTTTGTTCTCCTCCAGACTTTGGCTTATCTCCAGGCTAACTTCCTTCTCACTGTGTCCCCTGGTAATTACTACTTCCATGCTTGTAAGAACTGCATTCAACATGCACAGTTAGTCCTGTTTCACTATTCTTCTGTACAGCCATCTCCACTCCCAGCTAGTTCTGTACACTATCTACAATTTATTTCCTTATTTACAAAATCTGAGCTCCCTCTTTCTTCTCTGCAGTGTTCTGTGTAGTCTCCCTTGCCAAAGTCTTAGTCTCCTCTTCCATTCATACCCTCTTCTAATTTCTGCCAGTTCCTCATAGAATTTTTTCCTTTCATTTCCCTCTGTGTACTAAGCATCTTCAACTTTTAGCTTTCAAAGCTTCTGACCCCTGCTCTCGTGCCTGACTGTGTAGTCTTTACGTTCTTTGCTAATACATATCTGAACACATGCTTTGGAACGTAATTTTTATATCAGTATTGTAAAATACATAAAACCTTATTATGTCAGTCATTATCAAACAAAGTCATGATTTCCTGATGTTTCCCTCCTTTTTTAATAGCCTGTATAATAAGGACATGGACTCCTGACGTGAATCCTTTTTCCGTGGTCAGGTGTGTTATTTCGAGCTGTGAGCACCTCTGAAAAAGGCAGCGTCACTACGTGCCACGGGTTAGAATGGTTAGGACTGGATTCCGCCAGGAGACGCAGTGCCAACCAGTTCTGTAAAAGCGTTCAGCCTGAGGAACTGATGAGTCTGAGACACGGCTTAAATTAAAAATAGGAAGCATGATGCTTACAGTTTTAAGTTCTGTCACCCAGCTGTGAGGTGATCAGCAGCTGAATGAGCTTTTCATTCTTTGGTTTATACAAACAAAATGGGGCATGTGTTTTGCAGTTATTGTTTTACTTTGTTGTAATGGGAAACCTTTTGACTTACGCATGAACGTACTGCAGGTAAACAAGAAATAGCTGATTTGTAGCTATTTACATCAGGATTACTGTGTTTGAAATCTGAACAAATTTGGTATCTGAGTGTGCTCTGTAAGTACCAGCAAATGTTTTACTTTTCCACCAGGAAATGTCAGTATGCTGAGGTCATTTTAGCATGGGATAAATAGGTAATTCAGGCTGAAGCTGAAACGTTTAGCAGAGCAACATTTTCCTTCTGTTTTTCAAATTATGTTGCTTTTCCCCTAAATTTTTATCTTTTTACTTCGATGCTTTTTTACCAAGAAGTCTGAATTGGCAAGCAGCGTGTTACCTTCGCTGCAGTTGAAATGAATAGATTTGTTAATAGTACCTAACGGGTACAGAATGCCGTGGTAGCTTTGCTCTGAGTAGCTAGCTTTCAGGTGCGAAACAAGCTACTGAAAGCTGAAAGCATTAACTTTTGCTCTAGAAATTTTAATAAATAGGTTTATTTAAAATGTCCCCTGGACAGTAGTGACAGAGCTGTACAATGGTATCAAGCGCTTGCAGACACTTCAGTCGTAGCATTTCTTTCCCGTGATGCTGTATTGTCGGGCGTGACATTTTCATTTTGATTTGTACTGCGTATCTTTTCATTGCCATTCAGATTACGTTAAAGCTGTTCAAAAAAATTTCATGTCCACAACTTAGGGCATCTTTGAAACACACAAATACTTAAGATATCTAAAATGTTTTAACTTTAAAGAAAAAAAGTGCCAGTTTAGGTCTATTTAAGTGTATTGTTAGCGTGTTTGCAACTCGGGTACCTTGTGGAGAATGCTACCTGAGGGGGTCAAAATGCAAAGCCAGCAAGGCTCTTCGCTGAACTCAACCTGAATCAGAAAACAGCCTCACGCAGGCCTGCTGGAACGCTCGGCTGTCACCTCCCAGAGCCCTGACCCCGTTGCTTTCCAGCTCTCCACAGCCCGGCGGGCTCTGGCTGTGGCCGTGGCAGAAGCTTTGCCCCACGGCAGCTCCAGCTCTCGGACCTCGGAGACCTGTGCTCTGGAGTACAGGTTGCTTTGTGTCCTCAGGACTTTTTTATTTTTTTTTCAGTTGTTGGGTGCAAGTTAGCTTTGTAACTTCTAAAGGAAGTTTTGCTTCAGTGAGAATTGAAGGGAGGACCGCTATTACCTCGTCTCTTTTCCAAGGAGGAGGTATTTTATGTCTTCACAGCCCATCTCTCTGCCTACCTGTATGTTGATGGCATAGTGCATTATGACCTGGCTTATGAACTATGTAATGGTTCAAAGGCCTCTTGGATTAGAAGGACTGTCTCGGTGAGTTCTTTGTCACATACCACTTGCTTTTCCAAGAAAATAGTTCAGAGACAGAGATCCAAGATTGAACCACAAAGTGCTTGAGGGTTTTCTGGTTTTCTTTTTCTCTTTTTTCCTTTATTTCCCTTAGGCAGACTTCTACATCCTCTTACTGTGGCATCCACGTGAAGCTTATTTCCTGCTGTTTCTCCTGAGGCAACACTATTTCCCCTTAGTCTAATTTTCCCAATGTCTCCTGTAACAGCTTTCCTAAAACCATTTCCTTTAGCCATTGTTTTTACTGTTTCAAAAGGGTTTGAGGGGAAAAAAATGAGCAGTGTGTAGAAGAGGGGCACAGAACTTCCCAGAGCATGGCAAAAACAGTCATGGGGTGTGTTTGTTTTTTAAAGCATTAGTGTTTGTGCAGATCCCCCTGGGAGAGTGCTGCTGTCCTTCACCCAGCTCTGTGCTGAGGCTGGATTCCTTCTGAGCTAGACGTTCCCCTTCCGTGGACAGGGCTGTGTCCCCGGCAGAGCTGCTCCTGGTTCTGCAGGGCTCCAGGCAGAGAGCCAGGGCACTTCTGCCGTGCTGACCATCCTCCCCTTGAGACTCAGAGCACTGCTGCTGTTGGATCATTGCGTATCGGAGTACCTGGGGTAGCTCCTGATGGGTGCTAAAACAAAACAAACCTTTTATCTGTAATGCCTGAGAGAACCCTTGGCAGAGTCGGATAGTCTGTTGTTTGCGTTGATCACTTTTCGGCGTTGGCAGCCATCACTTCAACAAGAAGCACGTCAGGCGATCCCAGTACTAACGGCAGGGTGTAGTTACACTGAGTTCTTCCTGTGCAAGGTCCTTTGAGACCCCTCTCAAATGGCTGCACAGGACAGCCGCTGACTGCTGTCTGCGGAGATCCGCCGTGTGGGCTGAATGCAATCCCCAAGAAACTTGCCGTTACCTGATGAGGCATCTGTAGGTCTTTACGGGCAGAACTGGGAAGATGGAAAAGCATAGCAGTCTTGCCATGAGATGGGTCAGTGGGAAATCTTTAGTCCTATTTCTTTAATAGGCTCAGTGCTGGTGGATGTAACTCACATCTCTATCAGATACTGGCCTCTTGTTGCAGCTGCTGGACAGAACTGTGTTTGGGGAAGTGACCAGCATCCCCTGGCTTTCAGAGCAGCTCGCAGGCGAGGGCGCTGGCCAGAAGATAGTGACGGGATTGAGCGCCTGCCTACGTGAGGCTGGGAAGGGGGGGACTGTCCGCTGCGTGCCCCCCCCCGCCCCGGTTGCCCAGCCCTGCGGGCAGGAGGGACCTCTGCAGCCGCGGGGCAGCCGGCAGAACACGCATGTGCCGTGTGGCAGAAAGCGTTGGGGTGTGCTAGATGTGTACGTCGGGCCCAGAGCTGTGCTGCCTTCCAACAGCTGATCTTCGCGTGCGTCAAGACTTGTAAGTGATTCTGGATCTGCCAAGTACTTCATAAGAATCGAGCATTGTTGGGCTGCTTTTTCTTAGCATTCATTTGTGCTTGCTGGAATCTTCACTGTGTCTTGTGTCATCTTTATCTCTCTTAAAGTTTATTTATAGAGAACAAAAACATGTCTGATGGAGGGTTGTTTTTTTTTTCCCTCCAGAGGAGCTCATAGTTTAAATCGGAGTGTTAAATGCTGCTGTGTGTTAAAATGCAGCTCCACGTTAAATCCATGCATAACTCACTGCAAAGTGTGTGGGGTTGGTGGGTTTTTTTCCTAAATAACATATAAACATCCTCTTGTATTTCAGAAGAAATCCTTAAGGCAAGTTATTGGGGACGAAAAAGGCAAAGCCTCCAGCAGAAGTGTTGGATTAGACACGGCTACTTCTCGCCCTGTAGAAATGGGACAGCCACCTGACGAGTTTCACCTGTCTCCTGCTAAACAGTGCTGGATCAAGGAGGGATCTTCCCAGTACGGAGGCTTTCCAGGATTCAGCAGCAGTGATGGAGTATTAAGGGAACTGGATGATGGACAATTTGACCCAGAAGATGGAGTCACTCAGGTCACGTGTATGTGATGAAGTAAGTAACCACCTCAGATGGACATGTACATAATTCACACAAATGGCTAAAAAAAAATGCTACTACTTTAAATGCGTTGGCGTAATCCTATGACTTTTCCTAGACTCAGTTTGTATTTTCTTCTGTTCCTTTGTTGTGTTAATCCTACTGTAGTAATGATACTACTGCAAAATAATTTGGTTTTCTGTCCTTCTGTAATGGAATAACTACATGACTGGGTGCTCTGCTAACTTGTTAATGCTCTTGACAAGCAAGGAGGCAAATGCTGCAAAACAGTGACAGTTGAGTTGTGTAAGAGAGAAAGGAATGAGGATGTTTAGTGTTTTTCACAAGCTGGAAGAATGTTTATTTTCTTGTTTTTAAGTGTTGTAAATATTGGTGGGAGAAAAAAGAAAAATAACTATCTGGCTGTTAAGTTTTAATGTAACTTTTACTTTCCTTGCCTGCGTAAATTCAGAAGCCTAGAGAAATGCAAGCCTTATACTAGAGTGTTGATAATTTCAGCTTCGTTCATACTTGGTATGTACAGAAACCTCTGGAGGCTGTAGGCAGGCACGTGCTCCTGTAATGTAACTTCACCTAGGTGGGTTTTACCGGTGTTCCTTGTACATCTAAGCCAAAAGCTGTCTGAGCCTGTAGCTTGTGTGACGATGCATTTGTGATTCACTCATGAGCGGAAACTGAGAACCACTCACCCCTGACAGATAACATGCAGTCTCTGGAAACTAGTTTGAGGAGCTCGCAAAGAAGTGTTGACAGCAAAGTGTAGAGTGATGCTGATAATAACAGGAGGAAGCAGCAGGCTAAACTGAATAGGCAGTATTAGATGGTAGACCATACACGAATATGCTGATGTATATCTAAAAAATGTCTAGGCTAAATGTGTCTTGCACTGGTAAAGTGTATTCAGCTGCATGGAATACCATGGGGTGTTGGGAGGAGCGGAGGGAGCTGCTGCGCTTCCATCTTCACCGTGGGGAGGAGCTGCTTGCATGAAGGGCTCTGTGGGAGAGGCAGGAACAGGAACTGGTTTTGTGCTGCTGTCCTGAAATTACATTTTTACAGAGGAGAAGCTGAACGAAAATGCATCTCCAGAAGCTAAATGTGATTATAACCAAACCCTGCATTTTTCAGTTAGTTTTAGAAGCAAAAACTGTAAACACTCGTCACACGAGCTAATGGCAAATAATCTGGTCAAAATGAGAAAGCAGAATGGAACAGAGCGAACGTATTCACTCAGGGATTTTGGTACCTGTCTGCGTGTGGTGTGCTGCAAAGACTGAGAGAAGTGTTGTGAGTACTGCTTAACAACACCCCGCAGAGCCTGACCCACCGCTGCTTGCTCACGCAGCCCACCGCTCTCTGGGCAGCGGTCGTGGTCACGCAGGGATCTCCTCCATGGCACACAGATGCGGGAAAAACGGTGAAAATACCCATGACATCTGCCTCTGGCACAATGCCAAGCAACTTGAGCATATTAAAAGTGGGGTAACAGCTGGTCTTGTGCAACTTGGAATTCGTTGCTCTACTTGGAAAACTTTTTTTCACGAGTTATCCAGAACTCTTGTATGTGTGTAATTTCAACTAGTGGTGGTTCCCCAAGTTAAACCTCTAAAAGCAGCAAAACCTGGTCAAAACCCCTAGGAATTCTGACTCTTCCAAGTTAAAGCTTTTAAAGCATATCAGAGAAATTACTGACCTTTTATAAAGCTGTATCCCTGCTTAAGATGGTTAACAGTAGTGAATGGTAAACCAGCACTGAACTACAACTATTTAGGTAACCAGTTACAATGTATGAAGTACTAAACTGAAGGCAGTTTCTAGAATGCATTCCTTGGGCAAAAATAATCATTTAACATTTAACTGAGATCTTTTCATATTGGCTGTTGGGAATGCAGAAAAATCAAATAAGTTAATGTCTTCTGAAAAGAACTCTTCCCCTTAAAATTAATGGGGTGTACCCGGGGGAGAGTGTTTTGGAACAAGGGTAAAAACTGGGGGTGCTCTGGATGTCTACAGGTGCACTCTAGAATATCCCCGCTTTTTTAGCAAGAGAGGCTTTTCTTAAAGGAAATAAAGCCATAATCCATTTCAGTAGCCCACAGCTTTAACTGTGCTTTAGTCCTTGCTCTTGAATCTCACAGGTGTTGACTGTGCTGCAAACCTCTGAATTTGTCTAGTCTTTTTAATCCAGTGTAAATATGCTAAGCTGTTTCCTCTGAACCCACTCGGCAATTCCTGTGTAGTTAAGGACAGCTGTTTTTAATGCTGTTTGTCTCGCATACAGTATGGAAAGTTGCCCCTGCTGTAGAAACATTAATCTAGGTTGTTTTCCTAGCTCTCTGTTGTCGTTCACCTCACAGGGCTACATTTAGGCTCTGTATTGGAAAAAAAAATAAACAAAATACAATTCTTCACCTGGAAAAAAGTCAGCCTGAGAAGAGCCAAGATCGAGAGCTGTATAAAGTGAGTGGTGTGGAGAGGGTAGCAAAGGAATAAATTCTTCAGCATTCTTTTTTTTGATACAAGAGCTCAAGTGAATGATTGAATTGGTGAGTAGCAGGTTTGAAACAAATCAAGATATCTCTTCAGCTAACTGCAGAACTCCTTGCAGCAGGACACGGTGTGTAACCCTACATGGATTTCAAAGAGGACTGAAAAATTCCAGAAGGAAACCGCCCTATTCTCTCTGAAAGTCGCTGAACCAGAAACTGCTGGAGAGGGGAAAGCTGGTCTGACTGTCTGCGTGCCTGTCCGGTTCCTTAGGTTACTGTGAGCCCCAGTGCTGCATCCCCAGTGGGCCTGCCGCCGAGCGCTTTCCTGCGGCTGCAAGGCCTGCTTTGAAAGACGGGGGAGAGTCAGTCCTTGCTCAGCCTCTGGGAAGGCTGCGCAGGAATTGCCCGACCTCGTGCACGAGTTGGAGGACAGCGAATAAACCACCCGTCCTCCTAGGGCGTGGATGCCGAAACAGAAACAACGGCAAACGCTTCTAAAACAGATGGCGGAAAATGTTCTGTTTCTTTCTTTGAAGTTAAAAATTCTGAAAGCCAGCTACATCTTGGAAAAGTGAAAAAGGGAGGGTGCATTTTGAGCATAGAGGATTCGAATTTAAGCTACATGTTTCGTCACCTGGTCTTACACAGACTCGAGCGTTAAGGCATGCCTTGATCAGTGTTGTGAGCAGCACCGTCCATTAATGAAGTTTGTAAATC